TAATACAAACTGAACAGTGAAGGGAAACAAAAACAAACAGGGGAGGGTGGGGGTTTAGAGTTGCTTGTGCAGCAAATGTAGCATTCAGCTTACAAATATTTGGAAGAAAAAAGGAACAAGCTATAATTTTTCTTGTCGTTGCAAGTGATGATGTTTTATGTTATGTAAAGTTTCCTTGTTGTGAATCTGAATTTTTATGAAAAAGGCGACATTTACTTGGTCAAGTATTTAAAACATGAAAAAAATAATGTGCTGAATGCAAACTTTGCTGAACTTGTAAAAGTAGCATATAAAGTGTTGATAGACCTGGTATGAAGCTGAAATGTGTTGAAAGCACCTTTGATGAGTTGGAAAAGCATGAAAGATTGTGATGTTTGATTTCACCACAAATAGCTGATCTAGATATAGAAGAAGGGCACATATAGCTGAAAAAATTCTATATTAAAGATAGAGGTAAAAAATGTACATATTTCAGCAAAAAGCATCACGAGAGACCAAGACGGGCAGAAATTCATTTCATTGGCAGCTGATGGCAAGGTGCACTCTTGTCTCAGATATCACAAAACAAACGAAAAAAGGAACCTATGGCAACCAGGTTTTTGTTTCAGGGATAAAGTACCATCCTCGAGCAAAAAGATAATGGCAAGACACTTCCAACAGAAGCCACTATGAAAGAAAAACAAACTCTAATAAAATATATTAGGCTTAGTGATGTGGATGATGACTATACCCGATGTGGTTTGGATTTACATGGGTGGATTTTTTATCATCATCATACACTGTGGTGCTAACTGCCAATTGTTCATTCTTCCAGGGCCAGTTATATATGTTGAACCAGTATGCAGTTAGCATGCACTATAGTCAGCCTAAGACCCCTGGGATGGGAGGGGGCAGCGGCAGAGACGGAGGCCCCAGTGGCGGAGGAATGGGACCCATGGATAGGAATGGTGATCATAAAACAGACTGGATTTGCTCTAAGGTTGGATGCTGTTTAAGGAATGAAAATAAACAATTTTTTTTTTAGACACTGACAACATTGTACTTTAACATGGCAGAAATAATGTGTTGGGGGGAGGTATTAGTTGCTCAAAGTTATTACCATAATGACATTTAATCATTATTTATTGGTTTACCTTGCTGTTTCAGTGCGGAGTACACAATTTTAAAAGGAGGGACTACTGTTTCAAGTGCAGTATCTCCAGAGAAGGTAAACCACACACTAAATATTACCATTACACTAATAACACTTATTTTGTCATACACTATATCTGTAGTAGGTACAAAAGAAAATTGTTTTTAATAGATATTGTTAAATCAGTGACTTCAATTTTCAACCGATGAACATTATTTTCAGAGTCGGAGAAGTCTGGTAAAGAAGGAGATGGCTTTGATCAAGTGGGCACAAATCCTTGTAACAGTGAGTGTTTGTGTGGCTATATTGCTGTATTATATAACTAAAGATATTTCTGAGTTTTTATCTCTGTGGCATTCTGTAGAATTTGACCCAGTGTCCTCTTCAAGAACTATGATCAATAAATAATTTATTTATTTATTTATTTTTCTCCCCCAGCTTTAATTTTCCGTGGTCTGGATGCCTTGACAACTGAGGAAAGCATCATGGCTGCCCTGGTTAAGGTGACGGCCCTGACTGTGAAGAACTGCCGCGTGATGCGGGATAGCTTGACCAATACTTCACAAGGTTACGCATTTATAGAGATGAATTTGGCAGCAGAGGCCAGTCAGTTACTGGAGTCCCTGGGGAGACTTAACCCACCCCTGGAAATAGATGGAAAACAAGTCCTTATGTCTTACTCCAAAAATACTTTCACCACAGTGTAAGTATAGGATTTGTTAGCATAAAGAAGTTCTTGCTGCATGCTTTATGTCATGTAAATGTGATGAAGAAATGGTAAGGAAATAACCAACAAGATGAAATAGAGCTCTTCACTGCACCAGTTAAATTGCTGAAAAAGTAAATAGATGCTTGTAAGTAGAACACAATCCTGTTTTCTAGGCCAGTTTAGTAAAAACAAGCATGGTATGAAATGCTATTGTAAAGAATGACACCACCAAGGGTTCTGATAAAAGCAAAACAATTATCTACCAGTTATATATTTATATCCAGGTTGGCCACCCTCCAACAGAACAGTTCATATGATTACTCCCAGTACTATGACAGCACATACTACCAGGGGCAGGAGGCCCAGCAGACAGGATACTATGATCAGAATGGACAGTACTATGAATATAGCCAGGGCCAGTATGTGCAGGCAGCTGCCCCACCCACACAAAGTAAGTTAGGAATAAACAGTGGGACAATCGGTTTACCGTGGTCATGAGACATTTTTGGTAAAAATGTGAAAGGATATTGTTTGGAAAGGGATTAATTGTACCACCAGCGTAGGCGCTGGCGGTACCCATGGTTTTAGTCCCGACCCGTATGTTCCGCCGGCTCCGCCGGCTCCGCCGCCAAGTCACTGTTACCGCTTCTCCTCCTAGACGGTAAGGGCCCCTGTACCCATCTCTTGGATTTAGGTCACCTATAATCTCAACTCGTTCCACGTAAAATTTGGGCTTTGTCGGNGGAAGTCATATACTGGCAATCTAAGTGTGACCTTGAAATTGACCTTTGATCTACTTATTATCATGAACTGAACTCTGCTAATTTCTTTCTCTTTTAACTCCAAACCTGGCAGAGATAGGTCCATAGTTACTATTGAACTTGAATAGGAAGTCATATACTGGCAATTTACTGTGACCTTGAAAATGACCTTTCACCTACCTTACGATGAACTTAAATTTGATTGTACCATTTTTAGTTTCATATATTTTTTGCAAATATTGAAAATTCTTGTTGATTGCATGTTTACAGCTTGTCAAGCACAAGACTGGTGGCTGTGTCCCTTATTTTGTGTATGTGGGGGTCTATACGAATGCGCTTGCTCCAGCTGGTGGTACAATATTCGGAGGCGGTATCGCCTCTCTGATCCTCTAGTTAAGCTTTGAGGCATGATGTGTTGACCCGTCACCAAAGTGCCTGGATCAGGTGGCTGGTTCATAGGTTTGAGCAGCATTTTCACAGTATAAGACATCTAGTTGAGAAGATATTTGTATACACGGGATTTGAATCAGTATCTAGCTTGGGAGTGCTGGTCATTGGTGCATATACAGGAACAGTTGTATGCTTACAGTTAAGACCTCTAAATTGGAGTAACATTATGGTTACTACTAGCACTGCAAAATCCATGCAGGGTTCAGTCAATTTTAGAGTGTAATCATATTTAATTTACTGCATTTTTCTGGACATTTGAGAAAAAGTTGCTATTTTATTTGTCCATAATTCTCTTACACCTTGTCATTTTTCTTTCAGCTGACTCCACCAATGCAGCGGCAGCGGTGGCCCAGGCAGCCATACAGCAGGCCCAGGCTGTGAAACATTTCCAGAAACAACAGGAACAGTACCAGAAACAAGTGATAGAACAAATACAGCATCAACAAAAGCTGGCAGATATGTCACCGGAGCAGAGGTGAGAATGAAGTGTTTTTGGGGATATATCTGAACATTCCATACTTATTTGCTCTCTAACCAAGTTGAGCACTTAACAAATTCTTGTGCTTCTGAATGTTGCTTGATTTATTGAAAAACATGTTTCCATTACCTTGATTTGTCTGAAGATTACTTAAGCATATTCTTTATTCATGTTTAATGTGGTAAAACCTTCAAGTAGATTTAATATAGATAAAAAAGCTTGAAAAAGATGAAGGGTTTAATCGAAGGTGTGTATTTTTAAAGCACATTTTGTATGTAGGAATGAAATCTAGTTCTTTTGAGATTATAGTGGTTCCTTAAAAATGAAAGATATATTATGGATTGAACCAGATTTTCATTGATGTAGTGAAAGTTATCCACTGAGTAATCCAGTATACACTTGAAAAAAAACTGTGTCTTCTTTGTCTCCAGGCTAGCCCACCAGGCCCAGCAGTGGTCCACCACACAGACAGATGGCGCTGAGCCTGCACCACAGCCAGGAGAGCCCAATGCCTCTGGAGAATACACCACATATCGTAAGTATGGAATTACTGAGCAGGATTTCACTTTAACTTGTGGATTTATTTCAAAATTTTAGAAAAAGGAAATAGATAATTTTGGATATTGGAATAAAGGACATTTTTACAGGTCAGCTAGATGAAAACCACTAAGGGATGACAAAAGAATATTAAAACAAATCAAAACTTAAAAGGATACTTCAATCAGAGTACATTATTATGGCAAAACCTTACTGTAACAAATGCTATTCTCTCTGCAGCTGTACCAGATGTCTCAACTTATACATATGATGAGGCGTCTGGATATTACTATGATCCACAGACAGGCCTGTACTATGATGCTAACTCACAGGTAGGTGTGGATGAGAAGAAAATCTAAGATAGTTGTGAAAAGTGAGTGCAGGCTTGTCTTCATTGGCAGTGCCATCTATTGTCATATGTCTGGATAAGAAGCTAGTGAGTTCTGGCCTACGTCTGTTCTATTTTGATAAGTATGGATATGAAGTTGCTTATTAAAATAGTGGAAAGTCAGTTTTCATGCCATTAACTGCAATAAGTTATGGACAGGACTGCACTATAAATGTGGTGTGAAGTCACACAAGATACTCTACATGAAAAATAAGAATGTTGGAACTAATATATTTTGGTGTGTGAGTTTAATAGCCATTGTTCTATACAAACTGGTTGAATAGATATATTTTGAAATACTTGTTATATTTTAGTACTACTACAACGCCTCCACTGCCAAGTTTTTATACTGGGACAGCGAGAGGTCAACCTACTTGGCTGCCCCCACGGCCGAAAACCAGGGCGAACAGAAGGATGACAAGACCAAGAAGGAAAAGGATAAGAAGGAGAAGGTGAAGATTGCCAAGAAGATAGCCAAGGTTTGTGTGCCGCATTTGGTTCTGATGATGGTCAGGATCCATGTTTTAACTTGTGTGAACATGTTGATGAAATGTAGTTAATGTATGCTTACCAGCAATTTTATTTATGTGGATATATGTATGAAAATTGCAATTTTGCAATTGATGTTTGTGGTCTTCTTTACCAAGATTGACAAAAAAATCTGAAGTATTTTTCTTGAGGTGAAGTGCACAGGTATGAAGGCAAATCTAGTTTTTAATGCATTGAATAAATTATATTCACTTTGTAACTAATAGTTCAATTTAAGTAGTTATGCTTAGAATACTAACAGTTGGTTTAATTATAACAATATGTCAAAGACCTTGAAATGCTCTGTAAGATACAATATCAAGAGCTGCTTTAAGATATAAAATTATAAAACTTAGTGTACTTGCTGAAATCATTAAAGTACTACATAGTTGACAACTTGAAAAAAGAGATCTATTTTCTTAACTAGGACATGGAGAAATGGGCCAAGACCCTGAATGCCCAGAAGGATGCTATGAAGGATGGGTTTAAGAAGAGCATGCAGTCACTGGGAGGAGGGCCTGAGAGAGAGTCTGCCAGTGCTGACGCAGGGTTCGCTGTACTGGAGAAGGGCATGGTAGGGGAAGATTTCAATTTCAAAAATTAAATTATAATTGATCTCTGATCTCTGATCATGGTGAACTTTACTCATTATTAGTTTACTCTTGTGCTACCATTAAACAAGTGTTAATGTACTTTTAAAAAAACAGTGCAAAATATTTGGAATTGTTTGACATCAAAATACTTTGAGCAATTTCTCATGTTCTTGATCTTTGTTCTAAATGTTGGTTTGTATTGATAAGGCATTATACTTATGATGTGTGTAACCTGTGGAGATCCCCAAATTTATCACTTTCAAACATATGAATATTTGAATTCACTTTTCAGGGTGAGAAGCCAGTAGACCAGTCACTTATGCCTCCACCACCTCTGGTAGGTGACCTACTGTCATATTTCTACTATTTCTTGTATAAAAAAGGTGTTAAGAGAAACTCTTCTTTACATCATTCTTTGTTTAAACTAAGGTTAAGCTTTACAGGTTGTTAGGAGGTACATTTGGTGAAAGAACATTCAAATTGAATAAAAGTACATACTGCAATTTTGTACTACTATGACTTGTTAGAGGTTTGGTCTTTCATAAGAATCTGGTAAACAGATGCTGCAAACACCCTTAGTTGCCCAGTGCTTCTTATAAATAGTCAATTAATATTTAAGCTCTTGTAGAAAGGAAGAGGGAGGGGATATTCAACTGCCCCTCAGTTTTATTTAACCATTAAAACCTCATGTATTCCAGCCTGGTGGAGCAAAACAGGCTCCAGGTCAAGGTCAGCCGTCTGGAGCCCTGGTGGCGTCTTACGGCGGAGACAGTGACGAGGAAGACGAAGACGACACCCAGCAGATGTCACCAGGGATGGTAGAGGAGAAGATGACCGACTGGACCAAGATGGCCTGTTTGTTGTGCAAAAGACAGTTCCCTTCCAAGGAGGCTTTACAGAGGCATCAACAGCTGTCAGATCTTCATAAGGTGAGGAATAAAATATAGTCTCATTGAAAGAAAGTTTCATGTTGTGAAGATCCATTAAATGCCTTTACTTGAGGACTGTCTGAGCAGGTGGGAGTGCTGGGATGATTACTGAACTGACCTGTTCTTGTCTAGAGACTCCTTGAATGAGGAAAGGCCTTTTTTGGAAATAGATGGAAGATATGTGGAAGAAATTGGCAGAATTTTTCTTTTTTCAATATACTTAAAATTATAAGCAACTACAGTTGTGTACTTTTGAAAAGCAAAAAGACCAATGCAAATTGTTCTTTAACTGTACTGTAATAATACTTGATCTCTCTTCATAAGAGCTCCATGATTGGTCTGTAAAATGAAATTAAAATATCTCTGAGGAAGGTTTTGTTTTATTTTCAGCAAAATCTGGACAAATTAAAGGCATCACAAGCAGCACAGGCTGGGCCATCTGCAGTAAGTTGTTTTAGTTTTCTCCTTTTAAAAATTTTACGTCACAAGAATTGACATATGAAGTAATTTAAGAATATTTAAAACATGGTAAATAAAATTCAGTTTGACAAAAGCATAAATAAGTAAAATTCTCTATGAAAAAAATTTGACCTGTTATACTTTCTGTCCATAGTACAGTTTTAACATTAAGTGATATAGCCTTGGGCATAAGGTGTGGTCACTGCAGTATTCTGACACTAAGTCACCTTGTATGTCACTTTTCCAGGGTCAGTACAGGGACAGGGCAAAAGAACGAAGACAGAAATATGGAAGCACAGATCCGCCAATCAACAAAAAGAAACAGCAACAGCTGAGACAGCAGGCCACAGCGTAAGTGTTTATCCCTTTTTGATAACCTTGCTCATAAAGCTTACCCTCTACCATAACCTCACGTATTTCAGTACTGTGCCATTATTGTTGATTTTTCATATTTAGCTTAATCCTACATATTTGTATTGTTTTGCAGATATGAAGAGCCAACCAAGGCAGGTCTAGGTCAAGACAACATTGGAAATAAACTTTTACAAAAGATGGGCTGGAGTCAGGGCAAAGGTCTGGGCAGGACCAACCAGGGCATTGTGGACCCTATTCAGGTGAGGGTATTTTTTAACATATTTCTTGTTTTTGTAACTCATTTAATTTTGCCTAAATATGAATCAATATATATTTATACATGCTAAAGTATGTTTGATTTCTTGTTAATGATAGAGTTTAAAATGAGTGTTGAAATATTGAACATTTTTTCTACATTTTAATTGGGTGTGTATGTCACTGGTGGCAGTGTTCTTGACAAAGTGTTTTAAAATGATGTCATCGATTCATCTACATAAGATTAGAAGATTTTAGGATATTTCAACCATAAATTTAAATGATATAAGATAATAAGCACGTCAATTGTATTCTTTGTTCATTATTTATCTTTTCTCTTTGTTTATAAGAGTCTGGCTTAAACATCAAGTCGGACTTAAATAGAACTTTCAATTTTGTAAGTAAAATTTGTAACAATTGTATCTTTCTTTCTCTCTCATTCTTATGGGAATTAAGTTTTGGAAATAAAATAATTGAACATGTCTCTCTCTCTCTCTCTGTTATTCCAGGCACAGAGGCGTACAATGACGGCAGGTCTTGGGGCACGAGGATCTAGTTACGATATCAACCCAGGAGACACATACAAAGACAGCGTGAAAAAAGTCATGTATGCACGGTTCCATGAAATGGGTGAATGATACTGGGAACAAACTTGACAGAATGATTTGATATATGAAAATTTGTACATACTTAAGTATAATTTGAAAATTGAGTCAACATGGGAGTTTGTATAGCCCTATACTCTGCATTTATGCAATAAGCAGAGAGGAAGATACTGTGCAATTTATGAGGGAGGAATCGTGCAGCGGGTGTCTTTATGATCTGAAATATGGCATTTGGACAACCAGATCAATTTAATCTGTTGTTTTGACATTTATCACTACCTGATTACCTCCATTGAAAAGAAGTTTTACAATCATCATTTTAGTATGAACAAATACAGTAAAGTATAAGATTTTAGGTTATGTCACTCCAAATGAATAAAACATTATTGTGGGTTATAGATTCTTTGCGTGATTGAAAAACATTTTGTAAAATGCAAGTCTGGTTGGTGAATAAAATACAGCACCTGACAATAAAACCTTGAATTATTTATGTATGTGTGTTATCTTATTGTTACAGTAGTTTTTTATTGGAAGTCTTTATTGTGTTAATCCATTGTAATCTCTTCTCACACAGTTGCCTAAGATGAATGACTAAAATTGAATAAGGGTTTGGTACATCGATTTTATTTATTTCATCTCGTCTTCTGTACCTATTATCATTTCATACAATTTTGTGAGATCACATCTAACGTTTTTAAACCTTTGGGATTTTTTTATGAATAAACTAAGCATCCTTATGAAAATGAAATAATTACATCATCTATTAGTAATCTACAAAATATTTTTGTGTAGAGAGTATATAATACAAGATTCTGATGTGTTAAAATCATTTTATTTTTCTAGATGTCTTATTTGAGGATCTTTTGTTTGGGTGGGGTATTTTATCAGTCACTGAAACTGTATCATATCTCCTGGGGTTGAGGAAAGGTACTGGAGCCTAAATATCATCACTATTTTTGTAGTCATTAAAATATAAGTAATGCACAAATAAAATTACAAGTAATAAGACCCATTTCCTTTCTCATGGATTGATACCATTATTTTCTACCAATTTGAAAGTACAGAGAATGTGATTGCAAAAGAAAAAACAGATTCCTCGGTCCTAGTTGCAATTTTCTCTGGAGTAGGTGAAAAGAAATGTAAAACTGCACTGTGCCCTAAAAAAATAAAATTAAAAAAAAAACAGGAAAAAGAGGCATTCCTGATATTGACAATAAATTGGCAAGATAGGAAAAAGGAAGGACTCCAAAGTTTAAACGGTCAACGTTACACTGAGGACCAATGGCTCCATGAAAGACCACTATTGGCATCAAAAAGTCACTGCAGTCTGAGGGGTATATACATTGACTTATTCAAGGGGGGGGGGGGGGGGGGGCAGTCAAGTTTATTCTTCTTCTGTGTTTCTGTGAGTTTTGCAGTGATTTCATTGTGTATGCCTTCTCACATTTTGATTGACTATGGATGTTTGGCATCGACAGTTACTCTATCATGACATTAAATGATATCATTTTGTATGACAACACAGAAATCTGTTCTTTTTTCCTTTGCTATTTTTTATTGCTCTTTTTGTAGAAAAAATTATTAAGTCCTAACAACTATTCATATAAGATTCACAATGAATGTTAATTCTGTTAACCATTACGCAATACAGGTCTTCTATGTTGTTTATTTCCGTAACCAAAAGAATGCACCTAAATCAGCTTCATAATGAGCACTGTTTCGTTTATTTATATTGGTGTAGAGGAGTTCAATTAGAAGGAAACAATAGAAAGAAAAATAATGCTCTTAATAAAAAAAGAAGTCCTTAATTTGCCATGGTAATCCTAAGATTTCCTACTGGGATATTCTGCAAAAACGTTGAATATCGGGAGCAGTAGTACGTGAGATGGGTAGGCCTACATCCCTATACGTCCCCGCACCGATAACCCTCCGCACCGGTACATCCCCGCACCAATACTCCCCCGCACCATTTCCCCCCCTGCAATATTAATGCGGGGAAGCAATGGTGTGGGCGAGTAACGGTGCGTCTACATCGGCAATATTTACAGGGGATGTATCCATGCAGGGATGTGGGGTTATATCGATGCGCATAATACCAAAATTTACTTGAAGGGGGAGTATCGGTTCGGGGGAGTGACGGTGCGGGAGAGTATCGACATGACCCGTGAGATAACACATTCTTGTAACTTTGAAATTTTAAACTAAGATGATGTTTTTTTTTTATTTTATTTTAATTTATTTTATTTTTTTTATTTATTTATTTATTTATTTATTTTTTTGCTATTAGTTCTATATCCCCATACAAGATACTTTTTTTCTTCTAAAAATTGGGTACTTTTGTAGTATACCCCCCCCCCCCCACCACCCTGTAACAGTTTAATGCTCATTTGCGTAATCCTTTGAAACCAGGGGCAAGAGTGCATATTTTTGTACATGTCTATTATTGAAAATGACTGCGCAATTTATTCTTGTTTTATTTTGATAAAGTTTTATTTGCAGGGTATGGGTTTTAATGTGGCACTATTTCGTTTGGCGGACTGGCAAATTACAAGTAGTACCAGGATGGATCGGGCACGATCAAGATATAGTCCAAAACAAAAAGGTAAATAAGGAGGTAATGCAGCAGTTATATAAGAATAACTTGGTGCAAAAATGATATGGGTTGCATTAATTTTAAGTTTTTGTATGCAAGTGAGTGCCTGGATCTATATCAGTATTTGCTAATTAATGCGAAATCACCATAAGTTGAGCAAATATGCACTGCAAATTTATGCACTACCACAACTCCAGCATTCTGATGTCTACAGGTTATCTTATCTTATGTTTAATGCTTTAATATAGGCTTTGTTGTCATTGGTGCACCAAGTAAGTTAGACAATATATTTATGTTAAAATTGCCCAGGTACCTGCAATATGTACATACAATGTACGTGTTATCGATTCCCGAGGCTGTATAAGTAGGCCAGGGCCATATTGATTACGTGTACTTATGTAAACATTCCATTTGCGCTGTCGGTACTGAATACACAAAAGAAGTGTTTTTTCAAGGGATCAACAAACGATTTTTTTTCTGTCTGCTTTTTTTTTTTTTTTTTTTTTTTCCTGCTTTTTTTTTTGTCAAAACATCAATAGTAAACAAAAAATGTACATAGATCTAGAGCTGTGAGAGTCCCCAGCTGTATTGATCAGTCTACATAGAATGATTGTTGAGCCTTTTGATGCATATAAAATTTATAGAGAAAAAAGGCAATAATAGGTTGCAAGAGTTGTTTGTTTACGCAAACTGCCATAGAAATTGCCCACCAGTATCAGGTTTCTACCCATTTTCACATTGCAGAACTGAACTGTGTTGACAAATGGCTATTTTAGCTGATATACTAAGAAATGGGGAATGTTTTTGTGATCAGAGGAAGGTATTGAAATTAAATTTCTTTTAACTTGGAACAAACTCCCTAATTGAATTTTTCAAAAGAAATTGGCACAGGTTGGCAAGACCAGATTTATGCCATACAGAAGAAGGAACAGCATTACAGCATGTCGGATTTCGGGGAAAATTGGAAGAAAATGTTTTTATTACCTCTCCCCACTCTTGTTCACCATTCAGCCAATGTTAGAAGACCAATAGGCTATTCACACAAGCATTTTCAACTGCGATCAAGGCCTGACCTCTGTCCTATCATGTTTAACTTCTCTAATGTGAACGGACAATGTACCCCTGACCGCAGTCAAAATAAACCCAGATCGGGAGGTAGGTTAAATCAGAGTAAACTCCTGACGGCAGTCAAGTCCAGATGTCTACATATGAAGCGCAGGCGCACAAGTGTATCTTCATTTGAGCTCCGGCCATGTTGCACAGATTCTAGTAAGAGCGCATGCTTAACAGGAAGTATGCTTGCTGAGATTCTACTGCTACTGATCGCTGCCGGTGTTAGTGTGAACGCAAATAACCACTGTTTGGTTGACCGCAGTTAACGTTCGAATGTGAATGACCTACAAGTTATATTGCCTAGCACTTTGGAAGATACGTTGTATTGATTTGTATTTCCCATATTGCATGCATCTGTGTACCAAAATTCTATCATTTATTTTATCATTTTGTTTACTTCACAAAAACATAATTATGTTTGGAAAACATCTAAAAATTCAAAATTTTAATGTGTGCTCATATTTAGCTCTTTTATTCATTATTTAATAAATTTCAAGTCTCTTTGGCATTATTCCATGGGTGAAAATCTAATGAGGCAGAAATGAGTGAAAGAAATGACAGACATGGTATTACTTTATTAACTTTTGATAAAAATAAGGTAGATCAAACATTAAATGGCCCATTCATACTCAAATATATTAGCTATCTGTGTGTAAAATTTTAAATAGCATCAAAAGTCACAAAATATCAAAGGTGTTCAGTCAAATCCACAGAGGTCTATAGGTATACTTTAAAGCAGCTAGCTTTTTGCCCTGTGCATGTAGCCTTACCAAAAATAGGAATTGGACATTGGTGTCAGATCACAAAATTAGATAATTTGCACCCAGTACATTTTTTGAAAAAAAAAATGTTGATTTGTTTGAAAATTATTTTTGTCATTTACTTTGAAGATCTTATATCTAACTTATGGTGTTCAATTTTCAGAATGGCAGCAAGCTCTGTATTATCTCCTCTGGCATTAAATGATTACCAGGATCGATTGACAGCTGGAGAAAATGTGTCAGAAAAAGTGTATCAATTCAAAAGACTGTGCTCCTTTCAACACTGGCCAGAGTGGGCGAAAGCATCACCAGCACGGCTAGCCAGGGCAGGGTTTTTCTACACTGGCGCTGGGGATAAAGTGGAGTGCTACAGTTGTCATGGGACTCTAGAGAACTGGAAACATGGCGAAAATCCATTAGAGAGACACCGGCAGTTTTATCCAGCATGTCCCCATGTGAAAGGTGTTGACAAGGAAAATAGACCTATTTCATCTGAGGGTGTTGAGAGTGAACTGGTGAGTTCTTTACAAGAGAACGGAGATGCAGGAAGGGACACTGTGACAGATACTGTGAGTTATGTGCTTAGTGTTGTTGAACATAGGACCACATCACAGGCTAGAGAGCAGCACCGGCTTCCTTCTTCAGCCTTGGTACAAGGAAATGATAATGCACACCCTGGTAGAGAATCCACAGATCTGTCATCAGTAGAAAACAATTACCCTTTTTCTAATTTGGCACAGCAGCAAAATGTTTCCAGTCATGATAATCATATTTTTGGACTCATGCAAGATGAAAATGCACGCAGAGCAAGTTATCCAGTAGGATGGTCTGCAATTTGTCCAATATCACCTGATGAATTGGCCAAAGCAGGTTTTTTTTGTATGAACTCTGGAGACCTTGTGCAGTGTGCATTCTGCAGAGGTGCTGTGAGGAACTGGGAGACTGGGGATTCTCCATTCTTTGAACACAAAAAACATTTTCCACTGTGTCAATTTGTGTTAAACAGACTTGAACAGGAACAGAGGCAGTCAAATTCTGTACCACAATCTAATACTTTTTCAAATAGCAGTAATGTACCAGACCTTTTGCTAGATGAGAGTCCTATTGTTACAGAGAGACCCAAACACCCAGAATATGCTGTGGAGCAAAACCGGATAGCCTCTTACCAGAAATGGCCCATAAACAAGAAGCAAACCCCCAGAGACCTGGCTCAGGCTGGTTTCTATTATGCGGGGTTTGGGGACAACGTGAAATGCTTCTTTTGCAGTGGAGGCCTGAGGAACTGGGAGGCGCAGGATGTACCATGGAGGGAGCATGCACGTTGGTTTCCCAAGTGTGGTTTTGTGAAGCAGTGCAAAGGTGTGACCTTCATACGGGAGGTACAGCGAGAAAGAACAATGGGCGGGGCCAGCCGAGGTCACTCGGCAGATGGACATCCGGTGGAAGCACGAGAAATCAAGGCAAGACTTGACACACCTATGGCCCAGACTGTGGCCAATATGGGATACTCCAAGGCCAAACTGCGCCAGGCAATAGAACAGAGGCTAAGAACCCACGGAGATGACTTTCCCAATCTCCAGGCTTTTGTGGAAGCTGTTCTCGACTTAGATGATGGTGAAGAACAGACCAGTGTGGGGAATATGAGAGAAACCAGTCAAGCAAGCAGTGTTGTTCAGCCCAGATCAGACAATAGTCTACAGGTCCAATCTCAACCACAGGGTCAAGAGTCATCCAACACAAAACAAGCCGACCCGAAGACAGGCAATTCTGCAAAAGATAAAAAAGATGAAAATTCTGCCTCCAAGGTATCCGTTGTTGATGAAAAGGAGCGATTGAGGCTTGAAAATGTAGAAATGATGATGCAGCGTATGTGTAAAAAGTGCTCTGATAATGAGGCCAGCATTGTATTGTTGCCGTGTGCGCACCTTGTTAGCTGTGCTACTTGTGTGGTTGGTTTGACCAGGTGTCCTGTGTGTGATTTGAAAATTCAAGGAACTGTGAGAGCATACTTGCCGTGAAATGTTTTGCTTAACCATGCATCTATCACTGAAGGCTCCAGAGGAATTATAAATATGGTACAAAAGACACCTTCGCCCTTAAATGTTGTTAATTTTGTATATACCAAGCACAGCACCATTTAGTCAATATTTAGTTTACTTAAATGTTTATCATGCATGTAGTTAATTAAAAGTGTTATAGCATGTGTTAGTACGCGCATTCAGAACTAACCGACCTGTGGATCAGATATGACAGACCCATTTGAAAGCGATGCCGCATAAAATCCTGATGGACTCCCTGCCTCCCGCGTGCCCTCCCTGCAGGGACACGGCAATTGAAGCTGGCATTAGAAAGAATCGAGCCCTGATCGAAGTGGAGCCATTGTTTTATTGCTGTGTCCCTGCTGAGATGGCATGTGTGGGAGGAGGAAATGCCGTTAGGAGAGTGGGTGGCATTGCTTGTGAGTGGGTCAGCCGTATTTGATCCCCAGATCTAGTCTGCGGACCAACTTTTTCTAAAAACGCCTTTAATTCTCGTAAGTGAGTGTTGTTTCTGTTTTTTTTTTTTTTCAATTAATTTTCTTTTCTAAAATGAAAAAATAGAATCATGGTCCTATTCAGGTAGTCATGGCGTCAGGCCTAACTAACTACCAGACACGGCACCTACGGATCCTGAATAAACCGGTATATATCAGACCACACTACCCGTTTTCAAGGTGTGTGTCAGATTGCATTACGGAGTATCATACCCTATCACAAATTTTGTAGGCCTACCTGTATCCGGGTATCGCTTAGGATCATCACTATCACATCACGCACCAGGCAAAATGGGTGAAGTGGCTGATACTCCGTAATGCGATCTGACACACACCTTGAAAACGGGTATTGTGGTCTGATATATCGGTTTATTCAGGATCTGTAGGTGCCGCGTCTGGTAGCTGGGTATGGGTGTTAGGTTACTTTGATTAGGTGAAAACATGATGGGTTCATTACTTGTGGGAAAATCTGGTGTGTATATAGTATGTGTATAATAATAATAATAAACAACTTTATTCAAAGAGGTTAACACATGTTTAAAACATACATACATACTAATACATACTTAAAAGTGCACACATTTTACATATGGTCCTCGGCGGGGGGGTATAATAAAACGTTTTAATAAATAAAAGATGAATAAATTATGAAATTTGTTTCCACAGTCTTGCGTGTCATCGTCTTTGTAGATCGGTGTATTTTTCGAAGTATTTGGGGATATTCCAGATCTTATAGATGTGTTTATAATGTAAGTAATTGGGTGTGCTTTTTGTTGCCCTGATTAATTATGCATATATGATCAAATAATTTTTGATTGGCGTTTTCAAATGCGGTCCTTAGATTGGTGCTAACTGCAACGTATTTAGATTTAATAAAAATTATATGGAATTTGCACTTACCGTCGTTTTGTTGTATTTTTCAAATTTTTTAATGTGATTCCAAATGATAAGAGCAAAGAAATTAATATTTAGCAATGGTCAATGGTCACAACAATGGTTCTGGCTAGCCGTTTAGCTGTTAAGAAAAGCCTTTGTATTTAACAGGGATATCTGAATTTATTTACTTTCAAACCCTAATAGGACTAATTATCTGTATGCTTTTTCGCTATATGATGGTGCACGAATGGCAACGTCGCGCACAGATAACCCGAGAGTCGAAAGCAATCTAACAGAGACCGAGAATTCATATAGGTTTAATATTTTAAGGGTAGGCCTAGTAAACTATCGGGAGGGTGGTAAGGGCAAAATTTGGAACTTGAAGTTGGTAATTGGTTGAAATGTAGGTCTCAGAGGTTATTCACTCCTTTTTTAGACTGCAGTTACTACCCCAGCAGGCACACAACAGTTGATTCAACGTTGATCCAACACTCGCGATTTTACAACTTTGAGTATATGTTGAACTTATTATTGATTGTGGAAATTTGTGTCAACGTTGAATCAACGTTGGCATTCAACATTGAATCGTAATTTAGTGTTGTTTCAATATAAATCTCGACTTATAACTCCAATATGTGGCATTCTTGTTGTAAATTAAAACGCTAACGCACCGGAGGCCTACTTGCATACACACTGACTAATTTATTTCACTACACGTGGACACTTCATCCATATCTATTTGCCAGTCACCAGGCAAAGTGGAGAGAACTTCTAGAAATTTGACGGGAAAACCCGATGGAGTGGTCCTTCAGGCCAAGGAGTTATAACAGATATAACTTCTTGTTCAGGCTAAATGTCATGCTCTTAATTAACTGAAGTGAGTTTCTAGTGACGATTCAAATCCAGTTATTTCTGCAAACAAAATAATTGGTGTTATCGACCATTGAATCCAGCCACGGTGACCGCATTCTACAGATCAATCTCCTCAATGATGATTCTTGAGGTACTGACCCACCCGGTTTTCGCGTCCGCTAAGGGCTTTGAGGTACCAGGACAAATCCCCACGTGCAGTGCCACCTTTAGGTCGCCGCTAGGGACTCCCATACATAGTCCGCCGACTGAAAGGAAAGAGAGTTAAAAAAAGTGAGCATCATTTTGGAATCTTATTTTCTTTGTTGTAATTTGTTACATCTTGTATTATTTTCGTTTTCTTTGTTTTTTCTTTTTTTTTTCTCTAATTTCATATTTTTGTACTGTTTCTTTGTAATTTATCCTTTTATTTTTCTCATCCTCCTCCCTCTTCTCCTCTCTCTCTCTCTCTCTCTCTCTCACACACACACATACACACACACCCTTTAAAACACCACACTTACATGAGCTAGGGTTGTGCACATTGTAGTATGCAGACTTCGTATCAACATGTGCATAACACACAGCATCCAGTGTGTCCGGATCCTTACACTCCTGACCGTCTACAGTGAAGAACCATCTGCTGCAGCCCTCTGGTGTACCCACATGTAACAATACACGTAGATTACCATCCCACTGAACCCACAGAGCGCTCGAGTTGTGAATTTTGGGGAAGGACACGGTCTGAAAGGATTTAATCAGATTTTTTTTTATTCAGTAGCAAACAAGGTGCAATCTTACACTTAATTTTTGCCTATGAATCACATTCACACATCCTTACACATTTGCACTCTCACTCTCTCTCGGTATAAAAATATACAATTACAGTAATGCATAGAAATAAAGGTTGACCATTTAATTAGGTTTTTAACATTACAGTTGAAATAATGTATATCCTTAGATGGTTGCTTGTCAAATAAATTGCAATATACGCTTAATATATAGGCCCCTATGTTCCTATTTTGGTTTGTATGCATACAGAATATAAACAAATATTTTTGTAGTATTTAACATATTGTCTATTTCCTTATCATGATTTAATCAGATTCCCTAAATTCTCAAATTAAATTTATCAGTGGACAATTGCTTTTTCAATATATTCTAAGATACGAAGTTTCGAGGTTATCAACACTCAAAGCCATACCTTCAACATTATCCGGTTGTGCCCCATTTTTAAAGATAAAATATGTAGTTTATGAGTATCAACTTTGCCAATAGCTCAATATTTCCTATGGGGAAAATTAGGATTTTTACAGGCACTGTATTTTTTTATTTAATTGATTGTTGGCAACAACGTGGAAAAGCGGACCACAATGTAGTTTAATTTTATACAGTAAAAGCACCACAAATGCTACATACACAGTTTTAATTTTTTTGATTTAAATTTATGTATCTGAATGATTGATATTTTTTGCCCATTGAAAAGATCGAGTCATTACCGTATGTGCAAAATATATTGACATTGATGAAGGAAATCAGTTAGCTAGGCGTCAAAATAATAATAATAATAAAACGCATCTAACATGGGCGCCACATTTACATCACTATTTGTTCTTTATTTAAAAGAAATATCTAAGATGAAAATGATAAAAAAAGAGTAATAAAACACCTTGATAATGGCATTATCTGTACTGTCTTCGTTTTTCCAAGCATACTGTTTTATATGCCGGTGTACCATGAAAATCTGACTCCACCAAAATGTGACTCCCCAGTCAGATTTTCATTATGAAAATGTGACTCCCCAGTTAAATTTTCATAATGAAAATTTGACTCCCCCCATGAAATTTTGACTCCCCCCCACAAAACTTTATAAATTTTATTTTATTGGAGTATATGACTTTTATATAGTAGTATGCATAATGGAGAATACATTTACACTTTTTGTTTGTTTGCGGGTGAAAAATGTAATGAGAAAATAAGGAAATAAAAATTTTGTATTTTACCACCCAATGACTCCCCTATGAAAAAGCTTTTTATTTGATATTTGCATGGTGATCATTTCAACATTTGTCCCTTTAGTATACTTTATGACGAATATATTGGAAATATTTGAAAGTTTGGTGGTAAAATATTCGGTGCAAAAAATGAAAAAAAAAAAACTTAAAAAATCTTTATATTCATACCCATGGGATTTGGACTCTCACGAAGAAAAGGCATTATTTTATATTAAGTCACTATACCATTGTTTTTCACATGGTTTGCATTGTGATGTATATTTTGTGAGTATTTGAAAGTTTGGTGGTGAACATTTTGATGAAACTTGATAATTTTTGAAACAAGTGTTCATCTTACTACCTGTAGGATTTGGACTCCCATAGCCTTTTCAAAGGAATCATTGGGCGAAAAAATTTTTTTTTAATTTTCTTATTTCCTCATGAAAATTTTCAGAAAGTGCCAATGTATCCTCTATTATGCATACTACAAGATAAAAGTTATATATTCAAAAAAAATATGAGTTTAAAAAGGTTTGTGAGGGGGAGTCAAAATTTCATGGNGAAGAAAAGGCATTATTTTATATTAAGTCACCATACCATTGTTTTTCACATGGTTTGCATTGTGATGTACATTTTGTGAGTATTTGAAAGTTTGGTGGTGAAAATTTTGGTGAAACTTGATAATTTTTGAAACAAGTGTTCATCTTACTACCTGTAGGATTTGGACTCCCATAGCCTTTTCAAAGGAGTCATTGGGCGAAAAAAAACATTTTTAATTTTCTTATTTCCTCATGAAAATTTTCAGAAAGTTGCTATGTATCCCTTATTATGCATACTACAAGATAAAAGTTATATATTCAAATAAAATATGAGTTTAAAAAGGTTTGTGAGGGGGAGTCAAAATTTCATGGGGGGAGTGAGATTTTCATTATGAAATTTTGACTGGGGGAGTCAGATTTTCATGTTACACCGGGATGATGAGGATGAGGTAAGCGCCACCTGTTTCTTCAGGGCTTGGATCTCATTGCGTTGGACGGTGCGCTCGAGGAGAAGCGTTGACAGCTCCGATTCTACGCGGTTCAGCCTGGCTGTCGCTTTATCTAGGACACGCTGCATACTTGAGCACCCTTCTTGGCATTGCGCTGAAGCTTTTGACCCAGTGATCAAATCCACCTTGCGATTAAGGTCGGTTAGCTGGGCCGTCATGGTCGAAATTCCGTCGAGGACAGTTTGTCTTGTTTTGGCATCGACAAAGCAGTTTGTGGAGAGATTGGAGGAAATATGCATTTCTTCTGAGCGGCTTATACCCACGAGTAAAATCGCACAGACTAAAATGAATTTTATGCCAACGAAAGATTCCATCGTGACGGCCGCTCCAAAGTTGTCTTCTGAAGTGTGACTTTCCGTTTTAGAAATTTAATTAA